CTGAACTGGGCTTAGTGTCAGTGGTTTGTATTAAAGTTGCATTGATTTCAAAAATGATGTGCACCTCTGAAAGTCAAGTAATATAGTCCTGCAATGCAGTCATTCATCGGAAGTAGTCTTTTTGCACTATGGCTGAAAGTATATATGAGTGCTTGGTATCCTTATGAACTTTGTAGCTGTTGTTATGTGCATGTTACCGTCTACAACGGTTAAAAAAAGTTGGTTTTGAATATCAATAAACATTTTGTAAGATACACTGGAGCTAGACCGCTGATAATGTTAGAACTTAAACATTGGAAATAAACCCGCCCCTGCTCCCAGTCAACTATGGGCCCCACATCTAGAAGATCCGTAGATTACAAGTCCCCCCCGGCCCCTCTCAAAAAATTAACTGGAGTTACTCGGACGGAATGTTGGATCATGCCATTTCGGTTCTTTATTTGATCTAAGTAGTTAAAAAAAAAAAAAATCAGAGTTGAGTAACGTCGAGCCTCGTGAAGGAAGGACAGACTACTCTTGTCGTGCTTGTACATTACAACATCATTGCTGAGGTTTCGAGTGGAAGTCATCTTCAGAGTCACGGTGAAAAACCGACCTACTGAAACGGACGAAACGAACAGGAAACCGACACCTGCTACTTCAGTAACTACACAGTTTTTTTTTTATTCGATACCATGTTAGTAGCATCGACTGATTAAGAGTGGTTATAATGAATCATCAAAATTCTGACAAGGTGCTGGAAACTTTTTTGAGCCACCTTTTTAAGGCGCGAATACAATGTAGCACGAAAATGAAATTGCGTGACAGGTGTTTACGCCTCGGTTGGCCAGCTGCATCTAACAATAGCTTGGAACAAACGTGACAAAAAACATATATATATACTTTGTTTTTTCGGTACGCTTATGCGTGTGTTCGTTATCCCGGGAAAAGAGCAGCCAGGAGACTGGTCATACTATTTTGAAGGTGATATAGCAAATTACTACGTTAAACCATATTCATCATTGGCGAGGGGCATAACTGATCGCTGACTTTAATTTCGTGACGTGAAAACATGTGTTGAAGGGCTGGTTACTAAGCTATGTTTTCGGTATTTACGGAAGTGCTAGTGATATTCTATTTATTAAAACTGTTTTCGTCGTGGATTTGGCAGTTTCTCTCATTCCAGATTTACAAAGGTGAGTGTTATGGTTTTAGTGTAGTGACTTGTAGGTTGTTTGAGCGATTCGATCGCGGAAATGCCGTAAGAATCGTCTGTAAATTTCTGAAGCAACTGATGGCGGCCATCAGCGATACAAACAGAATCGAAACCTTATTTAATATTGCATTATGAAAAGTCACGTAGCAAAATTCTTTTGCTACTAACTACCCCGCGTTGGTTTAAGTGAATCGAAAATAAAGGCGAACTGAAGGTGATCGTATTCTGGAGGAGTTATGGTTTTATTTCTTTTCAACTGAACACGTGTTTGCTCAGTTGCATATCAGCCTGGTATTCAAAGTTCTACGCGAAAGATGTGTTTGAGATAACAGAAGGGCGAGCGATTGATTTTCAATAATCGAGAATTATGACTGAAAGCGGTTTCCTGTATACGACTGGTCGAGAAGTCAAGGATTAATAGCTTAATATTCAAAGATCCACTGAGCGGCTGAGAGATTTACGGCCCGGTTGTTCAGAAGCCATTTAACGCTAACCCAGGATTTAAAACCGAAGGTATTGGGCTGTATAAAAATGTTTTTACCTGCTTCTGTTTAGTATAGTTTGAGATTATTCAATCTCAACCGGAAGGACAAACAATTAAAACACAAAACCTCGCCGAAAAGGTACAAAACTGAAATCAAAATTCTCCCTAATGCAATATTGGGTTAGCTTAATCGGGCTTTAAACAACCCGACCTCATGTCAATCCAATTTTTTCAAGACTTATTTTTTTTAACACCGAAAATCAAAGACGGCGTTTACAGCAGAACTTAAAGCACCAAATGGGGACACAGTAAGAACGTCGGCAAAATTGTTTTTCAATACCCTAACTTCCTGAAATATAAATTTTACATGTAATCCGCTTTGAAACTGTGGAAAAGCGCGGAAAGGAAAGCGTTCACTGATATGTTTTTTTGGTGGGAATATGCCCTCGCATTAATTCCCCTTTAAAAGTAAACGGATTAACACTTTTAAATCGTCAATATTACAAGTTACTCAAGTTTCATTGTAACAACGATTTGAAAGTTGCCCCATAAAGGCGGCGGCTACAGTATATGTTAATTGACAATTTCGTTTTTCTTTTTCAAAAGCAGCTCAAATATTTTATTTTCGGTACGTGAAACCCTGTGAATCTCATTTTAAAACAATAATAGCATTCTCTCTTTTCACAGATGGAACATACAGTAACAAAGAGTTTGACAGATCAGCCGGAGGAGAGCATTGTTATTCCACTAATTGAGGTTCCATCTGTGAAGATAAGCCTGCCCAGTGTGTCTAATGACTTTCTACCGATAAAAACTAACCATGCCTTGGATCCTGGCCTAACAATCCAACAGAGTGGAACCACTACTAGAAACACGAGGAAGACGACTGGCATTGCATTTTCCGGGGGAGGCATTCGGTCAGCCGCATTTTGCTCTGGTGCTCTGCGTAGAATGTTACAAGATGACGTTCCTTTGGAATATTTAAGCTGTGTTTCTGGGGGAGGCTTCACTGGTGCGGCTTTCATGGACTGGAAATATCGGCAAGAAACTAACAAGTGGAACAACAAAAAGACGTGGCATAACGAATTCTTTGAACGGATGCGAACCAATGCTGGGTACCTATGCAGTTGGCAGAATCCCGTTTTGGGAATTTGTCAGTCAATACTGCTTATATTGGTTGTGCTCTGTGTTGTGTGTTTTTTGCCATGTACGCTTTGGCTTCCGTATGCACTTCCTGTAGCCGCAGCTATAGACTTCCTCTTTGGTGAAATATTAAGAGAGAACTGTACTTCTTCGCATGGTGTACAACAGGATACTTCGTCTTCGGTTCTGATGATAGACCTCTACAATGGATGCCAACCCCCTGTCAATCAAATGCTGCTCTTTACAATTACTGCGACAGTTTCTCTTGCGTGCTACATGCTTTCAAGACGCAGAAATCTCGTGAAATACAAAGGTCCCTTGAAATTGCTCTCAACCCTGAGTGGACTGGTATTCGCTTTTACTCTATTTCCATGGATTGCACACGATATTCTATGGCCGTCGAAAATGTGGGTCAGATATCTCATTTTCTTAATTTCTCTCGTGTTTCCGTTCTTCTTCCCCGTCATTCGTAAAAGCGCTGGTTTATGCCTTCGTTCTTATGTCTACACATATGTTTTGAGCTGGAAAGTGTTCAAGGTTAAGTTGATGGGAACAGTGGCGTATTCTGATGACGTCTTCTATCCGGTGTTGATGGTGTGTGCCTTGTTTTTCATCTTCTTTCCAGTCGTTAGGTCGCTTCAACAATCTCTGTTCAACGTCTACTACAGGTTTGTGCTTACTCAAACACAAGACATAAGAGTGAACTCTCTAGCTAGTAAGTAAACAGCTCCCAGCTGGCTTCGTTGATAGCTCAGTTGCACCAGTATCGCAGAGGTCATGGTAACGAATCCCGTTCAAGCCTGTTTTTTTTTTTTCAGGGTTATTTGTATTAGATAAAACGCAAGAAGAAGAATCATTGCCCATTGCAGTTCGTGCAGTTCTTAGTTAGATTAATATGTTATAATGGAAATTCTGCACACATAATTCATCATTTTTTCATCATTTTATTTCCCAATAAAATCTACATTTTACAGTTGGACTGGCCCGCGAATAGCTATGCTAGTCTAGTCTTTATAAAGATAAAACTAAATTTGAGATAATCGATTTATTGAAAGAAACGCGGCTTATTTGCTCCCTTTTTCAGGTATCGGTTGACCAACGCGTTTTTCATGCATGGAGCTAAAATCCGGTGTGGGGATATCTTTCACTGGTGCGGGCGACCAATAGATGACCAATTCAGAAGGGTTGGTGATACGGACGACGAGGTAACACTCCAAGATCTCGAAGACATATCACCCGTATTTATCAGCAACATTACAGCTAACGACTGGCAGATTGCCGGTGGAGACGACCACGTTTATCAGCTGATAACATTCTCGTCAGAAGGAGTCAAAGTTATAGGCACCGGTGTAGAAAATGGGGAAATTCTAGCACGTTATTTTGCAGGCCGTTTCCATCCACACCTCATGAAGTTGTCTGTAGCAATGGCCGTATCTGGAGCAGCTGTAAGCTTTGATAAGGAAGGATGCCAGAGTCGCCTAGATACGGTATTGGACCTGTTTGCTTTGATGGGAATTCAGATGGGAGAGGAGATCGTGTGCGATGAGTGTCCAGAGGCTGAAATAGGCTGGAAGGAGAAGGTACGTGATCAGTATCGTCATTATTATCAACAGGATCATGCTTAACATAATCAAGCCCTTCGGAAAGTGCTATACTTGCACGTGGTAGGGAAGGCTTGTCCCTATCAGGGTATGCAGGTCTTATCGACTTCCCAAACGTTCAAGGCCAGGCCACTGAGTAGGGATGACACATGACTCTCAATGTTAGCATGGGATGACGGCTTAGAAATACACAACAGAAAGAGAATGATCATCTGTAAGGAAGGTACCGACAAAGAACTTGCACCTTGGCATGGGTAGGCTGCACACCTTGCCATGGCAAAAATGACAAAACTGGAGATTGCTTAGCTTGTTTGAGCCTGATAGGCTAATAAAAATGTATGGGAGTAACGATGTCGATTAATCTATTATGAGCCTGGTAACAAATTTCAGTGGCTCTATCAACTGAAGGACGCCAAACCAATGACACAGGGCCATACTCGTTGCGTTCTGCTCTTTGGCCAGTTTTTTGCTCTCACAGCTCATGTCTGTCTCGAGCAAATTCTATGCTAGCGCGTGACGTTGTGATGAAGTAGCGTGTTATCTTAGACTTGCTTCATATCCAGGGCGACTTGAAAATGCTGCTAACGTATCTAAGAGCTACGGAAACTGGGATCAACTCTAACGGCGTGAGTCGGTTAAGTAGGACGCTCAGTTTTCCTTACGTTTAGAAAATTCGTATTTTTTTTATTATTCCAGATTACACGAATCCTGGTTGAAATCTCATGTATTACTCCTCTGATTGCCTTACCATTTGTCTACTGGTTGGGAAACAGCAAAGAATGGGTGGTATACTTAGTGCTCCTCCACATGGCGGTAGCTGTATTGTTAGCTAGTCTAGCTGTGCTCAATACTGGGTCTATCCAGCCAGGAAAAATGGAACGTTTTGTCAGGTACAGTTTTAGATTACCTAGCATCCCTGCATCACCCTCACCACCATCTTCACCCGTATCACCCATCACCACCACCACCATCGTCATCACCATTATCAGGTCCAAACATCATCATTATTATCACATGAGCATTACTACGCTAGCAGCACCAAGTCGTTTGCCTAATACGTAGACGACTGACATCATTATCACCATAGATGTCATATGTTATTGTAGTTCAGAAAAAGTAGTAGTTTAGTAACATTTTGGGATTTGGTTGCTTTGATAGATGGTGTGTCACCCACATTTTCTTTGTTCGCTTCTTTCGTGGCTTTTTAAACATCAATAATGTGGGCACGAATTCTCCACCAGTACTGCGACTCAGTGACGGAGGGCATTTTGAGAACCTTGCCTTACTTCCACTGCTTGACAAAAAGTTACAGAAAATTGTTATATTTGATGGTTCCTGTAACCCTGGTGGCGACAAGTATGCCGATTCGTTAATCCACGCTTTAAAGATGGCAAGGGAAAAACTCCACTGCTCTTTTACAGGAATAAGTGGCAGGGATATCAACGAAGATATCAGAGTGCACTTCCTGAAGATGAAGTCACATCAAAGACCAAGAAGTTATAGGTTCCGAGTTCATTACTATGACGAGGAAGATAACCAAATAGGCGAAGGAGAGATACTATTTGTTGCACCAAGACACCCATCTGAGAGCATTCCATTAAGAAGAATCGTCACCGAGCAACCAAAACTTTGGACATCGTTTGGCGTCGAACTAGATGATCCCGACCACAAAAAGTGGGGGAAAAGCCCGGAGATTGCTGAACAGGAAGCCGACAGACTAACTGGCTGCTGCTGTCTTTGTTGCGATAGAAACAGTTGCCAATATATTTCTTCATTTTCTCTCGGTAGATTTCCTCATCACATCACAGCTTGTCAGTTCTTTACTCCTGACACCTTCAGTGCATATCATCGTGAAGGCTACGCAGCTTGTGTTGAAGCTGATGTATTGGCATTTTTTAAGACCCAACAAGGCTATTAGAACTAGTTACGGCAAATATAACTTGCACTTTTGTAGTCTTCAGTTCTATTTGGAGTAATCTGAATGAAGAATTAAAAAGTCTGAGCGATCTCTAAGCAAGCAATAACAAAAAAATTTCTTGAGTATTTATGTTTAAAGCCGACTTTTATTTAATGTTTTCTAAAGCACATAGATACAAATACTGCTTCTATCATTATCTAGTTCATTTTTCTCGTTTCTTTTTTCATTTATCCACTTATTTAATGTTTTTTGTCTTGAGCTTTACAACGTACTCTGATAAAGTTTGTAAATTTGTGTGACTACACAGCTCGTTTACTATCTACTATTCTCAGTAGTTTTTTGCCTTATTAATTTTACTCACTGCTTCACTTATTCTACATTCTGTGGCAAATAAATGGTTGGTTGTTGCTATTGTTGTTATGCGTTTGTTTCTTCAAAATTGGATAACTGTAATTCTCTACTCTATGGCTTACCAAACTGTCTTTTAAAAAAGTTACAGCACGTCCAGAATGCCGCTNTTGCAGTTCGTGCAGTTCTTAGTTAGATTAATATGTTATAATGGAAATTCTGCACACATAATTCATCATTTTTTCATCATTTTATTTCCCAATAAAATCTACATTTTACAGTTGGACTGGCCCGCGAATAGCTATGCTAGTCTAGTCTTTATAAAGATAAAACTAAATTTGAGATAATCGATTTATTGAAAGAAACGCAGCTTATTTGCTCCCTTTTTCAGGTATCGGTTGACCAACGCGTTTTTCATGCATGGAGAAGAAGAATCATTGCCCATTGCAGTTCGTGCAGTTCTTAGTTAGATTAATATGTTATAATGGAAATTCTGCACACATAATTCATCATTTTTTCATCATTTTATTTCCCAATAAAATCTACATTTTACAGTTGGACTGGCCCGCGAATAGCTATGCTAGTCTAGTCTTTATAAAGATAAAACTAAATTTGAGATAATCGATTTATTGAAAGAAACGCAGCTTATTTGCTCCCTTTTTCAGGTATCGGTTGACCAACGCGTTTTTCATGCATGGAGAAGAAGAATCATTGCCCATTGCAGTTCGTGCAGTTCTTAGTTAGATTAATATGTTATAATGGAAATTCTGCACACATAATTCATCATTTTTTCATCATTTTATTTCCCAATAAAATCTACATTTTACAGTTGGACTGGCCCGCGAATAGCTATGCTAGTCTAGTCTTTATAAAGATAAAACTAAATTTGAGATAATCGATTTATTGAAAGAAACGCAGCTTATTTGCTCCCTTTTTCAGGTATCGGTTGACCAACGCGTTTTTCATGCATGGAGAAGAAGAATCATTGCCCATTGCAGTTCGTGCAGTTCTTAGTTAGATTAATATGTTATAATGGAAATTCTGCACACATAATTCATCATTTTTTCATCATTTTATTTCCCAATAAAATCTACATTTTACAGTTGGACTGGCCCGCGAATAGCTATGCTAGTCTAGTCTTTATAAAGATAAAACTAAATTTGAGATAATCGATTTATTGAAAGAAACGCAGCTTATTTGCTCCCTTTTTCAGGTATCGGTTGACCAACGCGTTTTTCATGCATGGAGAAGAAGAATCATTGCCCATTGCAGTTCGTGCAGTTCTTAGTTAGATTAATATGTTATAATGGAAATTCTGCACACATAATTCATCATTTTTTCATCATTTTATTTCCCAATAAAATCTACATTTTACAGTTGGACTGGCCCGCGAATAGCTATGCTAGTCTAGTCTTTATAAAGATAAAACTAAATTTGAGATAATCGATTTATTGAAAGAAACGCAGCTTATTTGCTCCCTTTTTCAGGTATCGGTTGACCAACGCGTTTTTCATGCATGGAGAAGAAGAATCATTGCCCATTGCAGTTCGTGCAGTTCTTAGTTAGATTAATATGTTATAATGGAAATTCTGCACACATAATTCATCATTTTTTCATCATTTTATTTCCCAATAAAATCTACATTTTACAGTTGGACTGGCCCGCGAATAGCTATGCTAGTCTAGTCTTTATAAAGATAAAACTAAATTTGAGATAATCGATTTATTGAAAGAAACGCAGCTTATTTGCTCCCTTTTTCAGGTATCGGTTGACCAACGCGTTTTTCATGCATGGAGAAGAAGAATCATTGCCCATTGCAGTTCGTGCAGTTCTTAGTTAGATTAATATGTTATAATGGAAATTCTGCACACATAATTCATCATTTTTTCATCATTTTATTTCCCAATAAAATCTACATTTTACAGTTGGACTGGCCCGCGAATAGCTATGCTAGTCTAGTCTTTATAAAGATAAAACTAAATTTGAGATAATCGATTTATTGAAAGAAACGCAGCTTATTTGCTCCCTTTTTCAGGTATCGGTTGACCAACGCGTTTTTCATGCATGGAGAAGAAGAATCATTGCCCATTGCAGTTCGTGCAGTTCTTAGTTAGATTAATATGTTATAATGGAAATTCTGCACACATAATTCATCATTTTTTCATCATTTTATTTCCCAATAAAATCTACATTTTACAGTTGGACTGGCCCGCGAATAGCTATGCTAGTCTAGTCTTTATAAAGATAAAACTAAATTTGAGATAATCGATTTATTGAAAGAAACGCAGCTTATTTGCTCCCTTTTTCAGGTATCGGTTGACCAACGCGTTTTTCATGCATGGAGAAGAAGAATCATTGCCCATTGCAGTTCGTGCAGTTCTTAGTTAGATTAATATGTTATAATGGAAATTCTGCACACATAATTCATCATTTTTTCATCATTTTATTTCCCAATAAAATCTACATTTTACAGTTGGACTGGCCCGCGAATAGCTATGCTAGTCTAGTCTTTATAAAGATAAAACTAAATTTGAGATAATCGATTTATTGAAAGAAACGCAGCTTATTTGCTCCCTTTTTCAGGTATCGGTTGACCAACGCGTTTTTCATGCATGGAGAAGAAGAATCATTGCCCATTGCAGTTCGTGCAGTTCTTAGTTAGATTAATATGTTATAATGGAAATTCTGCACACATAATTCATCATTTTTTCATCATTTTATTTCCCAATAAAATCTACATTTTACAGTTGGACTGGCCCGCGAATAGCTATGCTAGTCTAGTCTTTATAAAGATAAAACTAAATTTGAGATAATCGATTTATTGAAAGAAACGCAGCTTATTTGCTCCCTTTTTCAGGTATCGGTTGACCAACGCGTTTTTCATGCATGGAGCTAAAATCCGGTGTGGGGATATCTTTCACTGGTGCGGGCGACCAATAGATGACCAATTCAGAAGGGTTGGTGATACGGACGACGAGGTAACACTCCAAGATCTCGAAGACATATCACCCGTATTTATCAGCAACATTACAGCTAACGACTGGCAGATTGCCGGTGGAGACGACCACGTTTATCAGCTGATAACATTCTCGTCAGAAGGAGTCAAAGTTATAGGCACCGGTGTAGAAAATGGGGAAATTCTAGCACGTTATTTTGCAGGCCGTTTCCATCCACACCTCATGAAGTTGTCTGTAGCAATGGCCGTATCTGGAGCAGCTGTAAGCTTTGATAAGGAAGGATGCCAGAGTCGCCTAGATACGGTATTGGACCTGTTTGCTTTGATGGGAATTCAGATGGGAGAGGAGATCGTGTGCGATGAGTGTCCAGAGGCTGAAATAGGCTGGAAGGAGAAGGTACGTGATCAGTATCGTCATTATTATCAACAGGATCATGCTTAACATAATCAAGCCCTTCGGAAAGTGCTATACTTGCACGTGGTAGGGAAGGCTTGTCCCTATCAGGGTATGCAGGTCTTATCGACTTCCCAAACGTTCAAGGCCAGGCCACTGAGTAGGGATGACACATGACTCTCAATGTTAGCATGGGATGACGGCTTAGAAATACACAACAGAAAGAGAATGATCATCTGTAAGGAAGGTACCGACAAAGAACTTGCACCTTGGCATGGGTAGGCTGCACACCTTGCCATGGCAAAAATGACAAAACTGGAGATTGCTTAGCTTGTTTGAGCCTGATAGGCTAATAAAAATGTATGGGAGTAACGATGTCGATTAATCTATTATGAGCCTGGTAACAAATTTCAGTGGCTCTATCAACTGAAGGACGCCAAACCAATGACACAGGGCCATACTCGTTGCGTTCTGCTCTTTGGCCAGTTTTTTGCTCTCACAGCTCATGTCTGTCTCGAGCAAATTCTATGCTAGCGCGTGACGTTGTGATGAAGTAGCGTGTTATCTTAGACTTGCTTCATATCCAGGGCGACTTGAAAATGCTGCTAACGTATCTAAGAGCTACGGAAACTGGGATCAACTCTAACGGCGTGAGTCGGTTAAGTAGGACGCTCAGTTTTCCTTACGTTTAGAAAATTCGTATTTTTTTTATTATTCCAGATTACACGAATCCTGGTTGAAATCTCATGTATTACTCCTCTGATTGCCTTACCATTTGTCTACTGGTTGGGAAACAGCAAAGAATGGGTGGTATACTTAGTGCTCCTCCACATGGCGGTAGCTGTATTGTTAGCTAGTCTAGCTGTGCTCAATACTGGGTCTATCCAGCCAGGAAAAATGGAACGTTTTGTCAGGTACAGTTTTAGATTACCTAGCATCCCTGCATCACCCTCACCACCATCTTCACCCGTATCACCCATCACCACCACCACCATCGTCATCACCATTATCAGGTCCAAACATCATCATTATTATCACATGAGCATTACTACGCTAGCAGCACCAAGTCGTTTGCCTAATACGTAGACGACTGACATCATTATCACCATAGATGTCATATGTTATTGTAGTTCAGAAAAAGTAGTAGTTTAGTAACATTTTGGGATTTGGTTGCTTTGATAGATGGTGTGTCACCCACATTTTCTTTGTTCGCTTCTTTCGTGGCTTTTTAAACATCAATAATGTGGGCACGAATTCTCCACCAGTACTGCGACTCAGTGACGGAGGGCATTTTGAGAACCTTGCCTTACTTCCACTGCTTGACAAAAAGTTACAGAAAATTGTTATATTTGATGGTTCCTGTAACCCTGGTGGCGACAAGTATGCCGATTCGTTAATCCACGCTTTAAAGATGGCAAGGGAAAAACTCCACTGCTCTTTTACAGGAATAAGTGGCAGGGATATCAACGAAGATATCAGAGTGCACTTCCTGAAGATGAAGTCACATCAAAGACCAAGAAGTTATAGGTTCCGAGTTCATTACTATGACGAGGAAGATAACCAAATAGGCGAAGGAGAGATACTATTTGTTGCACCAAGACACCCATCTGAGAGCATTCCATTAAGAAGAATCGTCACCGAGCAACCAAAACTTTGGACATCGTTTGGCGTCGAACTAGATGATCCCGACCACAAAAAGTGGGGGAAAAGCCCGGAGATTGCTGAACAGGAAGCCGACAGACTAACTGGCTGCTGCTGTCTTTGTTGCGATAGAAACAGTTGCCAATATATTTCTTCATTTTCTCTCGGTAGATTTCCTCATCACATCACAGCTTGTCAGTTCTTTACTCCTGACACCTTCAGTGCATATCATCGTGAAGGCTACGCAGCTTGTGTTGAAGCTGATGTATTGGCATTTTTTAAGACCCAACAAGGCTATTAGAACTAGTTACGGCAAATATAACTTGCACTTTTGTAGTCTTCAGTTCTATTTGGAGTAATCTGAATGAAGAATTAAAAAGTCTGAGCGATCTCTAAGCAAGCAATAACAAAAAAATTTCTTGAGTATTTATGTTTAAAGCCGACTTTTATTTAATGTTTTCTAAAGCACATAGATACAAATACTGCTTCTATCATTATCTAGTTCATTTTTCTCGTTTCTTTTTTCATTTATCCACTTATTTAATGTTTTTTGTCTTGAGCTTTACAACGTACTCTGATAAAGTTTGTAAATTTGTGTGACTACACAGCTCGTTTACTATCTGCTATTCTGAGTAGTTTTTTGCCTTATTAATTTTACTCACTGCTTCACTTATTCTACATTCTGTGGCAAATAAATGGTTGGTTGTTGCTATTGTTGTTGCTGCATGCCCGTGATTAATCAATTTGACCGGCTTACTGCGCTGTTGTCCGAGCAATTTAACAAATTCACGTCAGTTTTTCTTGCGTCTGTCCTGTCATTGAGCATGAATTTCGTCATAACATTGTCAAAGTAGCTGTGGATCCACGAGGCGATAGCCGAGTGGATCCGCAGACTACTTTGACAATGTTATGTCGAAATGCATTGTCAATAACAGGATAGACGCACTAAAACTGACGTCACTAATAACAAATAAGAAATAACAAATTGTCCGCTCTTGCTCGTTGACGCATTGCATAAACTACAAATTCACGTGTCTGTCCGCTTATTGTCAAAGAAAATTAGCCAATGAGCGCGCGAGAATTTCTGCAGTTATCGTAAAATGAATGATCGATGATTAGATTCCACTTCACCCCAGTAATAAAGTAATGGCCATATTTTCCTCGTTTTCTTGGTCTGTAATGTAACTTACGGATCCTCTTTATCTCATTGAAGGGCAAAATTTTCTTGGTCTGTACCTTCTACTACGGACCTCGAACTCGGTAATTAAGAGGTACTTATTATATCTCCAGTTAGTACGCGCGTTGTGATTGGTCAATTTAGCGGGCAGTATTCTCCTGTACGGCCCCCTAAAATTTAAATTTGTTTTTGTTGCCAAACTGTTCCGTGATTTATCGCCAAGTGGTCTTAACTTTTATAGCAAGTAAAAGTTTAAAACTTTCTTTTACTCTAAATTGTGTATTAAAGTGTGCTAACAACTTAAAAACGATTTCAAATTGGCTCGTTTTGCTTTTTACATGCGTCACAAATTTCAAGCCGTTCCGTGTGAATAGAAATCGTTCACGAACACGCGTCAGGCACACAGTAGAGATATAATAAATATCTTACTAACCTCGTCTTCTCGGTCCCTACTGTAAATCACGGATCCTCGTTTTTTTCCCCTTCGATTTAAGGCACGCGCGCTTTGCGCTTGGGCCATAAATCGAACTCGGTTAGTAAGAGGTATTTATTAACCAATCTGACGTCTAGATGAAATCTTGGCGCGCACAACTGTTCTTCAGAAAAACTGCAGATAGCCACGAGGGTGGCGAGGACGGGTTGGGAAGATCTGTAGAGAGTAAAATTGGCTGAGCAGTGGTGAAAACGTCATTTGTAAAAACTGAGTCTGAGTGCAAAGAAGGTTAGAAGCCTAAAGGATAATTGTAATTGAACGTACACGAGAACGAAAGAACGTGTATCCCGTCCTTCCCGGACCGCTGTTGTTATTCATTGCCACGATCTCTTGATGGCATTTATGTCTAAATAAATAATACCAAGTTAAAACTTAGTTGCATTTTTCCAAAATGAGAGCTACGTTAATAGTTATCTATCTATTGTAAACTAGTTCACAGGAGTATTTTTTATGAAACCAAAAGTTTTCAATGAGTTTATCTAAAAGTCAGTGACTAAACGAACCCGTTTTGTTTGTGTGCCTCCATTTCATGGAATTAACATTTTTTCAAGATGACAGCTACTTTTATAAGTTTTCTCTAAGTACTTAAAAATTTTCTCGTTAACTTGGCCGTATTCATCAATTTATTTGCTTGCTCATAGCAAACCAAATTAGTTAATCTCTAGGGTCGGGATGGGAAGGTGCTTTTCATAAGAAGCGATGGGACTGTAAGCAACATCGTGATACCCAAAAGCCACCGGGCCGCCGGCTGCCAATCCCTCCGGGGTATCCCAGCGCGGAAAGCAGGGCATGGCAATAGCAGCCACTCGCAGACCGTATCGGACTTCCTCTGTTGCGACTGGCTCGCCTGTATCTTCATCGACTAACGAGATCAGGTCCGGAACTGTGACCAGAATATCTCTGGTACCATCAGACTTCATGAAGAATGCCACGTAATTTTCATTCTGGAATTCGATACCGAGTGTTAAATCACTGAACTTCCCAGAGCCTTCGATAGTTAGCCTTCCTCTGTTGAAACCACCTTCGGTTCCACGGCTCACATCAGCGATCTGCAAACATATACATCAAGATTCAACTAACTGGTTGTCATAAATTCCTCACCAATCTCTGAGAAACTGGTTTCAATTGAATTTGTGCTTAAAACTGGACGCAAAGGGTTAAATCCTAAACAATCACTGGCTACCGAGATCATGCGAGCAATACAAGTGTAACGCTACGTCGGCCTTGTGTGATTAACAGCTGCCTGTAACCCTAAGGGTGTAATATAAATAGCGGGGAAATAGAAAACACGCAAACAATCAGATTATGTAGTCATCTGAAACGTCAGATAAAAATTATTGCCAGGAACTAAAGCTGAGTGGTTCAAAGGGGTGTGATCAGCCAATCACTCTCACGAACCATCTTCTCGAGCATTTAACCTCTCACCCTCCCCTCCCTCTCCTTCTGCTCTCTATAGATAAGGCAGATGACCAATCAGGATTCCTGTCTCTTGAGGTCTCTGTAGCTTCAATAGCTTTCTCCCGACCTCTAAGTCTAATCCACCCTCTCTTTCGTCTTAGCACCTTAGCGGTGTTCTTGGCCAAGTGGAAAGTACGGGGTGAACCATCGTTACAACAACAACAACAACAACAACCACAAAACAGAAATAAAACCCCGAGTGAATTAAGCAAAAGAAAGAAAAAAAGAATTGCACTGGCAGAGAGACGTTTTAGGTTTTGAAGAAAGGAAAACCAGAAAATCCGAGCTTGAGGAGAAACAAAACGACTCCACGCCCGTATGACTGCCTGCCTAATTGAAACTCGGAGAACGAAGGCGCGATAGCATATCCATCCATCGATCTTGCCCTCCAATACTTTCAAGCCCAACAATTCGGGATAAAGATTATTTATACACAACCTTTCCAGTGATCAGAAGTTTTCCATTCTCATGTTGAAGGATTCTGTCCACGGGGGACACCTTGTCATGTCTCGCACGAAGTACAGTGTTCCCCAGGCGCCATGTTCGACTAAGGGAATACAGGATGAATTTCTCTTCAGTAACATCTTTCCAGTCAAATATAAACGATAAACCAGCCATACAGCTAAGGAAATAAACAGACACGAGAACGGTTGCTGATTAGAAAACACTAGAGCGAAACAGACCTCGTTTGAGGGCTGGAGGAGGTCAGCTCACCACTTTTTACCTGGGCATACATGCAAAATATGGAAAGATTTTACAAAGGTATTTAATGATCTTTCGTGTTGATAATAGTGTAACAGTAAGTGCACTTAGGGTTAACACTACGAGTAATATTTGAAAATTCTCTCAAAATTGCACGAACCTCTAGGCAAGCGCAATAAATAATCCCTAATTTTTGAAGCTTTCGTACGATTACTCATGCATGAATGATGAACGGACGGACGAACGAACGGACGAACGGATGAACGGACGAACGGACGGACGGACGGACGGACGGACGGACGGACGAACGAAGGAACAAATGAAAACTTTATTTATAACACGGTGAAAAATATCGCTACATCATCATCATAATAATATGATGTCTAGAGATTTTGTAGTGCGAAGTTCCCACTTATTACCAGGGCACACATGCAAGGGAATGTCCGCTGCAAATGAAGCTACGCTTCAGGTAGTCACTTCCTGGTTTCGGTAGATCCAAGTTTTGAGTGGCGACGCGAAGATCAAAGGACGAAATTTTCGGAGTGAACATGTTACAAAGATAAACTGGGGCGAGCTTATCAACGCATTTGTACATTAAATTTGCCTTCTGGGTTGACCTTCTACCTGATCAGTTATCCCAGCTAAGCGAGTATTAATTATTGGTATAAAATTACTGTACTAATAAATTTGCCGGGTCTCATCCAATCACAAAGCAATTGTATTCACTACTTGCAAAGCGGATGTTCTTACCCCATCTCTACCACTTTCATTCTCAGGAAATTCTCCAAGTGCTTTGACGTTTTAACAAAAGACACTGCCACCACGTTCCCTTTCTCATCTCCAACTGCCGCAGGGTATGGTGGGCTACCAAAAACAAACGGCAGAAACATCTGCAACTCAGGGAAGGCTCGACCCATGCCGTCCGCGTCAACAATGGGGAGTCCTAACTCTGCACCTGCTACTAAGGGTTCAACAGAGTTAGCGCCTCCAATCTCGGCGCACACGACAGCGACGAGCTTCTTGTTTGATTGACACTGTTAAGAAGCAAATTGGAAATATTCCACTTTGAATTCTTAGTAGCCAAGCAGACAAGCATTATTTTGCATTGGAAACACTCTACAATGAAAGTTTATAGAACTTAAGCTTCTGACCTAGAACCAACGTGGGTGAAGGAAGTTGTAAGCTCAGTCACCCTCGAGAAACTACACAAACAGCGACACATGCAAGCACAACGCAATAGCTATTTAGCAATTTCAATGGTTACATTCACAATGAGGCTTTTATCGTCAAAATTATTCGGAAAGTAACAAAGATGCCGTCCCACCTTCCCGTTAGCAACCCCCTCCCTCCCTCCCTCCCTCCCTCCCTCCCTCCCTTCCCACGCGAAAAAAATAATGGCTATCTACATATCTAGGGAATCCACGTACCTCATTTTTCACGGACATCAAATCTTGAGCATATTCCACTTCCTTTGTACCATCTCCAGCGTCTTTTTCCTTCAATGCCTTGTCACTTAGAAGAACCCCTGAAGCTGCCTTCAGTGCTGCAATGGATTCCCGTCCGCTGAACAACCTCTCGATGGCGATTGCTGGTGCACCCATAAAGGCTGGTGCTGCTACGCTACCGGTCAGTTCGGGAGTTGATCCTAATCTGAAAATCAGTAAAAAAAATAACCAATAATCTAACATGCAAAAGGACTCAATCTCGTTCTCGTCCTCGATATCGTCATCATAGTCTTCCTCCTCCTCCTCATCCTCCTCCTCATCATCATCATCGCCATCATCATCTTCACCGTCACCGTCATCGTCATCGTAACCATCATCGTCCTCGTCGTCGTCACCACAATCGTTGTAGCTGTCGTCTTCATCATCATTATCATTCTCGCCCCCTTCGCCGCCGTCATCCCCCATCACTTCCCATATTATTAATTACAGTATCATCAGAATATTCACTCACTTGTTAGGATGAATAACTCGGATTTCCTTGCCCTTCTTGAGAAGCTCCAGCGCCCTCAATCTGCCGATATAAGGGCTACCTCCTCCACCACACCCCATGATACCTGCTCCGATGGCGATACATTCGATATCAAACTTGTTCAGTATCCAGTCCCCTGATGCCGGGTCTACGTACGGATCACTTGGCTCCATGTCTTCGACTTCTACATTGGCTTGTTCAGACATAACAGGGACTTGTTCAACTGGTGAAGACTCCTTGGCTGAATCCGCGTCACCTAATGTCCATCCTTTGAATTAAAGGTTCCAAGAGAATTAACCGCCTTACTGAGTAGCTTGAAGCAACACCATCTGACACTAGAGCCCTAAAGGCTTAATGTCACACACCATTCAGCGTTGCTATAGTCTGGGTACACACTTTCAAGTCTGGTGAGAGCTTAGAAAAATTTAGTAGTCTGTTTCTTGCCTTTTAAACTCTGGAAAAATACTAAATGTCTGAAAACAGGACAAATGAAGTGTCTACTATATGATAATGATGATGATGATGATATTTCTGTTGTTGTCAATTGTCACTACTGAAACACAACATTCATATTTCCAAGGAATCGTGAAACATTCACAGTTATACCTATCTCAGACAATTCCTCGGGGCTTTTAGCCTTGCAGTCGGCTAAGTCTCCAACAACTTTCAGATAATAACGAACTGCATTTCCAGGCAGATAAGCCAGTGGTACGTCCATCACGTCAATAACTTTTAACGTCTGTTCGTCAGCACCTTCCTTAACAGCTCGTTCACGTGCCACTTGTTCGGCGTCCTCGCGTGCCTTTTCACGGGTAGTGTTGTTCATGGGAATTACTTGATCATATGTTCCACTGACTTTACTTAAAGCAGCCCCAACAGCATTTGCAGCCTAAAAAGCATAAATAGGAGGAGAACACTTGTTAGTCACAGAAACAAACATCGCAGTGGCTCCCGGAGGTACTCCAGATACATTTTTTCTTTAATTCCTCAGTCATGATTCTATTTCTTCGCAAAGACTCGACCATTGGCGACTAAAATTGCTATTTGCTATATGGCGTGTGTTTGCAGCCGATATAACGCGCCCTCTGATTGGCTAAT